GGCCCCAGCCGCCCGCCCCCTCGCGCCTGGGCAGCCTCGTCCGAGGCTTCGGCAGTCACCCCTGCCTCAGGTATTTGGCCGAGCAGCGCGGGTGCCCCCAGCCTCGGGCGTCCTCCCTCTCGCCGTGTCCTCCCCACTTTTCCGACCTCCCCTCCACGCCGCAGGTTTCTGCTCGCCCCGCTCGCGCCCTAGTTCTCTCCTGCCAGATCCCCCTCGTGCCTGGGTCCCGGTGCCCCCTCCCGAGAGCCTCCTGCCCCCATTTCTCGCCTTTTCTACCCCTCCCCCTCCTTCCCGTCTACCCCCCTTCTGCTTGGCCCGTCCCTGCCCTTCTTCTACCCCCTTCCCTTCTCAGTTCCCCATCCTTCTCCACCCTTGCAGTCCTTTCCCTCTACTAGCTGCATCCTGGAACTAAGTCTTTGCGAAAGTACAGGATAAATGTCACGGTGGAAAGTGCCCGGCTTGATCCTTTGCTATTTTCCCTAATTGCATAATTGGTGCACATGGTGTCTCCCCTGGCCAGTGCGGGTTCTAGCTCCGCTGTAGCTGCACCTCGATAGCCCGCCCGGAGAAGACCTTTTGGGTTGTATTTGTGTATGCACTGGTGTGGAGTGTGTGTTGTATTGGTCTTTTGTGACGCTTGGTGCTTGTCACAGTTTGTATCCAAAGCCCATTTTTCTCTGGTTTCTTCTCTGCAGCCCCCACTGGCCTGATTTGAAACTGGATTCCGTCTGTCCCCCGCCCTCCCTTTTCTCTCTTCTCTCCTGTCTTCTCATAATATTTTGATCCTTTTGCCCTTTACCATTTCTAATGAAGGTAAAGCGTGGCTTCTTGTGGCTTTTCCCCCCAATGCTAACCAGAAATGTCAGTCTATCTTCTCCGAAGGGAATTAAGGCACCTTTATAAAGACATCCTATGCTTGGTAGCTGTCAGACCCATTTGCATGTTTTCAAGATGCATCATTTTGTATTGTGTTTTCTTGAGTGTTTACTCAAATATTTTTGTTTAAAAGTACAAAAGGAAGTGCTAGGACTTAACCTTCAGATTATCTTGCGGTTCAGAAAGATTTTTAAGCTCAGTTTTTAATTCCTAATTCTTTGAAAAGTATGTTTCCGAATATGTCATAATTGAAACTGGATCTTGGGATTTTAAATGTTTTTGCTCAGCTAGTTCGGATGCTCCCTACCTCTTTGGAGTTTTACAGGACACCCCCCCCCGAGGGGGGGTTGGTTCACTATTATTTCCTGCAACTATATGTTTGCAATTAAAAGCTGTATGTTGCTAGATGCTGTGTAGATAATATAAATTGTTATTTTACATTTTAGAAAAGTTTAGAAATGTGTGTAGGAAGATTGGAAGACACAGATGCCAGAATTAAACGTTTTTTTGTTAAAAAAAAAAAGCTGAAATGAAATCTTGCTTTTGCAGTTTTATGCTATGAGATAAGATTTTAGGGCTTATCTGGAGAGTAATGTGAAGTTATTGAGTGACTGTTGTTGCTTTTGTTATCAGTAATATTTGTAGCCAAATCATTACATATTTATGGAAAATGTGAGTTTCGTTTGCTATATGTTGCCAATTTCCAGGACTGTAATTATAGCATAAAGCTAATACAATGTTAGGCAATTCATGTTAAAGAAAATACATTTGAATTCTTACATATTTTAAGAAACATTATTTTATGTTTAGAAATAAGCTTTACTTGTGATATAAAGAAAATGAATTTATGTGTCATATCTTTGAAACTGCCGTTGAAGACTCTGTGTTCTTCATCCTGGAGTTTAATCTTCCTTTAGATTAAAAAAGCAGATCAAATTAGTTATTTAGGAAATAATTTTTAAATGTTAATTTAGAAGGCAAAATTTGTATTGTATTTTAGTAGATAAGACACTAATATAATATTTCACAATAACTAAAATAATTTATAGACTTTCTTCATAAAAATTGTTTGTCCCTGAATGTTACAATAAGTTTTTTCCCCTTATTTTTTCTGTACTCAACATCGAAAAAAACAAAATGAGTGGGACTTTCCCTTATTTTTCATATTTGCGAAAGATATAAAAACTTTATTTCTGGAAGTTTTAATACTGGCTCTCAGTGGTCTCAGATGAATTTATCATTTGTAGGTTAAGATTTGAATGAAATAATGTGTTTGAGATCAAAAGTGGAAATACGCTTTTTTTGTATGAAACTGTGGAAATTATACCTCTATTAGAACTTTTTTTTTTTGGTACTGGGTCTCGAACTCAGGTCCATGTGCTTGTGAGCCAAATTCCCGGCCCAGTTATTAGAGCATTTTTAATAGTGTTTTGTTTTGTTTTTGGTGGTGATTACTAGTTTGTATTATGGTGCTGGGAATTGAACCCAGGGCATCGCACTTCCTAGGCAACACTCTTACCACTGAATTCCATCCTGGTGCTTTAATAGTATTTTCATTAGTTCTCTCTTGGGACTAATTTTTACCTTCGCTTTCTTCTGATGTTCTAATTTCTGGTGTTTTGATTTTGAATTATGCTCATCGTATCATTGAGAAGTCTTTTATAATTGTGGCATTAGATCATATGTAAATGCACATCAATAAGAATATTGAGAAGAATATGTCGCTTTATAACTAATTCGTTACACACCTGAAACTCTAGGCATAATTTATTAAGTCTTAAACTGAAGCTATAGCTTCAGTATAATAGAAATGAAAAGAAAAAGAAATATTTGGTCTTTTCAGAGCTAGGCATGAAACATACTGATATAAAATTTCAGTATTCTATTAAGTGACTTCAGTGCTCATAAAAGATGTCATAACTATGGAGACTGATGCTCTCCATTTACAGAACAGGTGGAAAAGCAGATTTCCTGTCAGTGCATTTCGGAACTCTTTAGCAGACCTGGTTTTCATTTGGCATGAGGGAAGGTAGCTATTAGGGTTGAGCAGAAGCACTGGTATGTATGACATCTCTGAAGGCTTTCAGTATTTTCTGTTGACTCTACCTCTCTGTGCCTTCTGCTTCTTTCAGTCTCTTTTAGTGCTTTTCCTTTAAAGTGTTTTTTAAAAATCCACAGAAGTCTATATTACAAAATTGTCTTGGTTTAGAATAAGCTACAAGTTAAATATTTGACAATAATATTCATCAGTGTCAACTATTTGTACTAGGTTATAGTAATAAGCTATGTTTTATTTGAAGTGTCTTTTTTTTTTTTTTTTTTTTTTTTTTTTTTTGGTACTGGGATCGAACTCAGGACCTCTCACTTGCAAGGCAGGAATGGTGCCACTGAGCTACATCTCCAGCCCTCTTTTACTTATTCTTGATCGTATCAGAAACTGTTATATTTTGTCCTAATTTGACTGAGAAATCAAAAGTATCCTTTTCCAAAAAGAATATATTGTTTATTTTTTTATTTTCATTTTCTGAGATATGATCTCACTCTGTAGCTCAGGCTGGCCTCAAACTCCCTATATAGTCAGATCTGGCTTTGAACTTGTGATCCTCCTATCTCCATCTGCCTTTAATAAAAGTTATTTTGTGCTGTTAATGGCACATCTTAAATACAGTAGTGTTTTTTTAGAAAAGGTTTTACTATGTAGTTCAGGCTGGCCTTGAACTCACTGTGTAGTCCAGGCTGGCCTCCAATTCAGTGTTCCTCCTGACTCATTCTCTTGAGAGCTGGGATTATTGGTGTGCATCAATAGTTTTGTTGCTTAAGGAAGTGTTAGAGTAGGTAGCTATACAGTACTCAAAGCAATTCTTAGATGGCAGTATCATGTTGAGCACAAGGCCCTTTAGGGTCTAGGTAATGGTTTTATTGATTCAGTTCTGGATTTGTCAGCACACTGTAAGCTAGGTGGGTTTTAACAGATATATTCTTAGTAATCAAACTAAAAAATGGATTATAATAAAATAACAGTGGAGAGGGGAATATCCCTTTTCACTTTCTGGAATTTTGTGTGTCTCCTACCTAGGTATCAAGATACTGAGGAATTGAGTTGGTAATCAGAGCTGGTTAGGGAGCATGAACTTAGAGCAAAGGGAATTTGAAATCCTTGAGGGATATTTCATCCAACTGTGAAAAAAAAAATGAACTCTTCAGTGTCTCAGTACATTCTCTATGCCTTGCAAAATCTGGTTGCTTAGTGCTGTATGTAGCTGGGTCAGTGCTGCCACAATCATATGGTTCGTTTTTCTTTAGAATTGTGGGAGCCTCTGTGTTCTTCTGTAATCTTAAAGATTACTTAACACAATTTACCAGTTTAGAGGATTGTTAACTTTTTTTTTTTTTTTTTTTGGTACTGGGGACCGAACTCAGGACCTTGCACTTGCAAGGCAGGCGACAGAACCACTGAGCTAAATCCCTGGCAAGAGGATTGTTAACCTTAACCTAGCCTTGAGGATGTACTCATTGGATGTGAATATTCCCCTCTATCTCTGTTTCTGTAGCTGTTTTTACTAAACTCTAAAAGGGTACTTAACAAGTTGGCTTGTTGTCTGAATTTCTCACAACTGTATGCAAAGGGTTTAGCATAGTGCATGGTAGAGATTAGGCCCTCAGTCCTTTTGTGTTTAAGTAACAGATTTATTGAGTTACATAATATAAAATTCGCTGCTCCCCCATTTTTGATGGTAGGGATTGAACCTGCTTCTTGCCCATGCTAAACATGATTTCTACCCTTGAACCTCCAGCCTCAAATTCACCCTTTAAAAATATACAAATCTATGGCTCTTATACTATTTAAAGTTGTATACCATCACTACTATCTAATTTAAGAACATTTTTATCACTCCAAAAGAAAACTTCATTCCCATTAGCAATTGTACCTCTTTCTCTCCTCATTCCTAGCCTTTCTATATGTCTCTGTGGATTTGGACATTTAATGTAAATGGAATAATACAGTTTGTGGTCCTTAGGAACTAGCTTCTTTCACTTAGCATAATGATTCAAGGTTCACCCTTGTGGAAAAATGTAGATACTGTACTTCAGTCCTTTTTGTCTGAGTAATATTCTATTATGTGGCTATATCACATTTTGATTATCCTTAATCAGTGGACATTTGAATTATTTCTACTTTTTGTCTGTTATAAGTAGCTTATTATGGACATGTGTATAAATTTTGCATGAGTGGATGAAAGAAAAGTTTTGGCACTTCCTAAACCTGTTTGTTTTATAAATGGCCAATTTTTGTTTGTTCTGTAAATGGCCAACTTCCATTTTATATTGAGTTTTACTTAATTCTATTTTCAGGCTCAGTTTCTCTCCTTCTGGGAGTATCTCACTCTACTCCTCCCCACAGCTGAATAAATGACTTTTGATTCGTTAATCCAGGATCAAACATGTCTACTGAGGCACAAAGAGTTGATGACAGTCCAAGCACTAGTGGTGGAAGTTCTGATGGAGATCAACGTGAAAGTGTTCAGCAAGAACCAGAAAGAGAGCAAGTTCAGCCCAAGAAAAAGGAGGGAAAAATATCCAGCAAAACTGCTGCTAAATTGTCAACTAGTGCTAAAAGGTACTTTAGTTATTAAAACCTTTTGATTTTTGGTATCAATTTATTATCTTAAGTTCTTTTTTATTTTTAATTGTATTTAGTCATTTTTCTTGCACGTGTGCTGTGAAATTCATGGATTGTTATTTGCTTTTAATTGGGGAGAACTTCTTAAAGTTAGTTAAATGGCATGACATATTTATATAATATATATTGATAGAGTATTTGTATCTTGTCAGGAGAGCATATACAGGATTTTGTGTAAAAGTATGATAATTTGATTTGTAACCATAAATACAGACCATAAACATTTTGTTTTTTGTTCGGTGACGTAGAATTGAGATTAAGAATCTATTGAAATAATTATTGAGTGATAGTTTATTTCCTGCTACTTCTTGGTAAATTCAGAAATGCTAGCGTTAACAAATGTTTCTTGGTTTCATTACATTAGGCAGTGTGAGATCAGTCTTCTACAGATTTTTCTCTTTTTCTGGAGAATAGCAAGATATAGAAAGTAGCTGTTTGAATGATCTCTATTGTCTCTGGTTTCTCATGATGATGTCATTGGACTTAGAGGGAATGTGTTTTGCTATTGTTACATTATAGAATAAACTTGGAAATAATTTGAAAGGTAAAAGTAATAGTCTTTCCTGATCCCATTATTTTGTCTCTGTCTTAATACTTTTTAAGAATAGCAAATAGGAAGTGTGAATGAAAGCAGTGTAGGGTGTTAGTTTAACTTTCTTCCCATAACATGTGGCTTTTAGATAGAGTAGAATGTCTGAATGTGAATGACTTTATAACTTTATATGTTACTGGATGATTTGGAGTAGGGGAAATTCCTTTCCCAAAGATCATTCCTTTCTTTCTGGCTGAGTCAATCCATATGGTTGGAAGAACTTTCTCAAGCCCCTGGTGAAAAGTGTTAGAGTGGTAGTAAGTGGTCAATAGTCTGTTCCAAGGGACTACAGTGTTCATTTCCCTCTTTCCTGGGGTGTTTTGGCTGACCTGTGACCTCTGTTGAAGGACTTATGTGAAAGTCATAGTCCTGAACATTAAACCTTTAAACCTTCATGATAGAACATGGCATGATGGGAAAAGGGTTCCCTTTGTGCTGTCATACAAGTCCAGGGGGTCTCAGCTGCCTGGTTCTTCCACCGCCTATCCATGAAATGGACACTGGAAAAGAAAACTCTTAACTTAGCCCATGGCTTCTGAGAGTGTTTTCACAGAGAATTTTCAGAGTAGGGGAAAAGTGGCCTGATAAGTCTGTAACAAGTAGATTTCTTCTGTGTTTTTGCTCTGCTATGGTTGCTAGCTAACAAAGATGTCTCCTGTTCTCTATCTGGGAGTACTACTAAAAAATACAAAATCATATTTTGGGGTGATGTATCAAAACCCAAATGTTGCTTATGAAAGAGGGTGTACTCTATAATAATGTGTGAAATAGTTTATGCAATTTTACTTCATTTAAAAATAGTACGTATAAAAAGTACAGCTTATATATTTAAACTCCACGATTGATTCACAAGGGAAAAATAGAGAATACATTTTCCTCCTTTTTAAATAGGGGACAAAACCTATTTTAGAGATGATATTTTCAAAGAGTCCAGGAGAATACCTTACTGTCACCCAATAGGAAACTGTATTATTACATTGGTGAAAGTAAGAAGTATCTTTGAGTTGCATCCTAACTGAAAAAAATCCCTCCATTGTCAAATTTGTTTTTGTGAACCTGTGATTTTTCAAATTGCAATTCACAATTTTCCTCTTTAAGATCCCCAGGCAATGTATGGATAACATTATATGAAATGACATAAGTCATTAACTAGTTATTTTAAATATAAAATGTTGCTTTATTGCCAATTTTTTTAATGAAAGAAAAGCTTATCTTACCCCTTTCCCTTACACCAGTTCCGTTAGTAAAGTGGATTGTTTCCTACCTCTACTGAACTTCTAAGAACTTAGAAAAGAATTGGGAATCGTGTGGACAAGAGGACCCATATCCTTTAACTTCACTATTATATCCATAGTGCCTGGCACAGTAGGGTTATATTATTTAATTACTGATTGCCTTGCAACATTGATCTTCCTGTATGGATTAGTTTTATTTTTTAATGGATGTCAGGACTTCAGTTAGGATTCAAAGTAGTTTCAATATAAAATTTTAATTTATACTTATTATTCACAAAGATTTTTATTCAGTTGAGAAATCTGTCCCAAATAGTGTCATTCTGTGAGACAATCAGTAGCAGTGAAGAGCTTGAATTCAAGAGACTGGATTTGAGTCTGGATGGTACTAGTAGGGTACATAGTCACCCTGTGATCTTGGATGCATAATTTAACGTCTCTAAGCTTCAGTCTCTTCTTTTGGTTGTTGTTGTTTTTTTGGTACCAGGAATAGAACTCTGGTCTTTGTGCTTGCCAGGCAGGCAGTGGCACCACTGAGCTAAATCCCAGGCCCTTCAGTTTCTTTTGTAAAGTGAAGATAATGGTGCCCTGTCTGGAGGGCTGTTGTGAAGACTAAATGTGATAAAATATTTGGCTCAGAGTTTGCACTTGTAAATTGATGATATCATTTATAGACTTTGTGGCACTTCAACATCTTTAGTGATTTTTTTTTTTAATCCATTTGGTACAGATTGGCAAAATAAAGTATATGTTAACCTCAGAGAACTTGAAACTGTTGTTAAACTGGAAATAGTCATGCTGTAATTAAATGCATTTTAGAATAGCTCAGGAAAAATCCTATTACTTAAGGTTCAGTTAGTAAGTGAAATTAGTTCTACTAATTAGAAAATTAATAACTTCTATAGCAAATGTATAACAATAGCAGAATTTCTTGTAGAAATATGTTTTCTTAAAAAAATCTGTTTTGAGGTTTTACAGAAGTTAAACATATATAAGTATTTCAGCAATGATATAAACTTTTTTAAAGTTAGAAGGAAATATAGTTCCTACATCTTTGATACATTTTTGCCCTGCTTTGGCAAGAATTTGTTTCTTTAAAAATTGGCATCCTCTTATCACAGCCTGTTCTCTTGATATGTGTATATCACTTTGCTATATTTGCAAGTTTATAGTTGGATGATGTCTGCAGTGACAAATTTGGATGATTTTGATTCAATCAACTAGTTAAATAAAATGTCTTATTTTGAAATCTTCATTGAATTGATTCTGCTGTTGATTTCACATGTTTACACATCTGTAAATGAGAATTTACATTTATTTCACATTAACTTTGCTCAGAGTAGACATTGGGATGTCGTTGAACACTCAATATGATACTGTTCTAGAAATATTATTAAATTTTTGTTAGGTTCAAATATTGATTCCAGCATGTTTCAGTGTGAACTTTTATTATCTGGCTTCATTTATTTTCCACATGAAAATATAGTAATACTGTTCATCAATAATATTTTGTAATCACTTTTCTTGATTCAAAATGTTCATTTCAGAGCTTAAAGTATTCTGAAATTAGTATATTTCTGCCAGTTGATGTATGTGATTATTTAATTGGTGGTATGTCTTAAAATCAGTGGTCCTTTACAATGACAGGTATATAGCATATATCATCACTCAGAATTAAACTTCAGCATTATATGCAGTGGTAATGTATCTCCTGGACACTGCTTTGACATTATAGTTTAATAATTAGTTGTATAATGCTTTCTTGAGAATAGTTGGTTTAGAAAGAAGTTGATTCAGTGGCATAGGATGGGGGTTCTTAGGTGACTGATGGATACAGTCCACAGAAGAATGTAGAAAACCATCTAGGTGTGGTATGATGAAGGTTTATTTTTTTAATAACTACTAAGAAATCACTTTTATGTATCTCATTGTTTACACATTCATGTCTATTTGGCCCTTAATGATTTACTACTGAATTTTAACCCAAGATTTGTGTGTGTGTGTGTGTGTGTGTGTGTGTGTGCATTGTGCATATATATTGCTTCATTTTTCTGAACCATTAATCCAGTTTATTGATTTTATAATAAATGCTTCATATCTTCATCATTCTGTGCAGTTTTGGTGTCAATGTTCAGTTAACTTGGAGGGGATTGTGATTGTTATGACCCTTCCCTTTTTAAAAAAGCAAGTGATGGCCCCATACAGTGTGTTTTTACGGTGCTCTTTTGTTCAGTTAAACTATTAGGTGCAGTCTCATAAGCTGAAATTTAGTTTATTATTCACTCTAGACTGGTCTCACTATGTGAAATTTTTTATGGGAATAAACTGTAGTTATGCCTAATGGGAGTTGGAAATACAGATAATTGTCTAGTTTATTTATGTCTAAAAAAATTTTTGTCTTAAAACTTCTGGTTAAGAAAGCTTGTTTATTTTTGGTGTTTTGAGACAAGGTCTCACTATGTAGTTCACACTGGCCTTGAACTTCCAGTGTTCCCTGGGCTGATTTGAGGTGATCCTCCTGCCTCAGCCTCCCAAGCACTTGGATTATAGGTGTGTACAACCACGCCTGGTTAGAAGAGAATTTTCCAAGTGTTTATTTTACAACTAGACTTAGTTTTTGTTATCTTTTACTTAAGCATTGATAAAACAGTAATAGTTAGAAAAGTCTGTGAGATTTATTTAATTCACTTTTCTTTGTCTAAGGCAGTGGTGTTGAATCTGTGGCACCACATGCAGGAAATCAGAGCCCTTTCAGCAGGTGAGCCAAGTTGCCCCAGCAGCCTGCATCAGATAACAATTTTTTTCTAAATTAAAACCTCAATATTGAGGTTTAATTGCAGTGTTGGTATTTTTCAATAAATAATTGGGTTTGGGTTGCAGTTTGGGCACCTGATCGCTAAAACATTTGCCATCACTGATCTAAGGTCATCGTGTTAAAAATACATTGTAAATGTGAATTACTGATGCCTCTTGATATTTCCTCACCTCCAGGGATAGTACCTGGAATAACTTCTTTCTTATCCTACATGTCAAGACTGAGAAAACAATACATAGCATGATCACAACTTTTGAGATAGATTGGATTGCTGTCATTGTAAACAGCAGGACATTTTACAACCATTTAAATAGCAATTCTTAGTATAATCTCTTCTGTCAAGAGAAATCCAACTATTCTTAGGTACTAGTGGCTCAAAATATAACATATTGCCTCATTGCTCAGAGTTGTTGAATTTATCATTAAGTTGCTTTTTGTATTGAATAATATAGATCTGGTTCAACTGTTAGAATTTTATGGCAGAAAATTATGATTTATCATTTTTTAAAATGAAAAGGATAAGCGTAAAGCAAGCCAAGTTATTCGAAAATTCCAGAGACATTCTTTCATTTTAAAAATAGACAGCCAGCTTGCTTCCTCCCTTTCTTTTGCCCTTCCTCCCTTCCCTTTGCCTTCCCCTCCCTCTTTCCCTCCGTTGTCATACTGAAGATTGAACTCAGGGACTTGTACTCTTACCACCAAGCTAGGTCCCCATCCCCAAAATGACTTTCTTTGGTAATTTAAACAAGTTCTTTTGAATTCCCATTTTTGTTTTTCTCTCTGTTTAAAAACGATTTCTAAAAATTACTTGTTTCTCATAACAAAACAGTGTGGAAGCTTTTTACTGAAAAGCAACAGTTTTTTGTCCATCCACCTTCCACCAGCAGTCCTAATTACGTTTCCCTAAAGAAAATGCCTGTCTGTAGTTTTAGTCTTTCTGTTGGTTTTCTGCATAACTCTTAAGTAATATACTTATTTTTTATTTGTTGAATAATTAAATAATATCTTTTGACTCCTTATTATGAAATTTACCTAATCTTTCCTTTTCTCTTTCATGTCTTTGTGGTAGTTATGTTTTCTAAAAATGAATACTAGTTGTCTTTATACTCTAAAGCCTATATTTAAGTGTGTATATTTTCTTCTTGTAAATTTCAACAGTATTTTTTGATTATCTCTACTGTGAAAAATTGAGATGTTAATACTTTCATTCTTTTATACGTTTACTGCTGTTCTTTCATCCAGTTTAACCAGTTTTATCAGTAACACTTAATTTCACATTTTCATATTTTAAGGTAATATTTACATTTTATAGTATAACTATAGCCCATCCTTTGCTTTATAAGTAAAAGACCAATAAATTGTATAACTGAAATTGTCAGTGTCAGACCAAATAGCATATTACATTTCGATTTCCTTCAAGTTCAATGTGATGTTCCCAGAGCTGCCTGAGTCATAGCATTTAGGCAAAATAGGCAAAATAGATTACCCCCCGCCTGTTACTTCATTAAAATTTTTTTGTTGTTGTTTTTGTTTTTTGAGACAGGGTCTCACTATGTAGTTCAGACTGCTCTGGAACTCACTTTGTAGCCCAGGCTGGTCAGGAACTCACAGCCATCCTCCTGCCTCAGCCTCCCGAGTGCTGGGATTACAGGCGTGTGACACCATGCCTGGCAAATATTATTATTTTTATTTCAAAGGCCTGTGATTTTCTTGTATGTTTTTATTTCTTTTGGGATTTTTGACATCCCCTGCCCTTGAATCTTTATGTCCTTATGCATTCTGTAGTGCCCTTTTGCTTATTATAAGTTGTTTGTCATATACCCACCTGCCCCCCTTTTGTAGTTTATTTCTTTTTGCATCTGACATAGTAGGAGGTGCTTATGAATAGGAAAGATAAGTATGTGTGTGCTTATTTTGCCATCTTTAACTTGGATTTATCCATTTAGTTTTGAAGTACCTGTTTTATACTTTCATGTGAAATCCATAAAAGAGTTCTACTCTCAGATTTTTTGAAACTTCTTGTCTTTTAGTTATGGGCCATATGTACTTCTGTGTACATAAGCAGATTAAGAAGCTATTTTATATTGAAATTACAGAGTGTTAAAGATAAAAAGAGAGCATGGAGTTTGTTCTAATTAACTTTTCTATTTTATAGGATAGAAAACTAAGGCAGACAGATTTTTTTGCCCATGGATTCAATTAATGACATAACACAATTAGCATGAACTTTTTTTGTCTTTTGATTTTTTAGTCTTGCTCTGACTCATAATATCACTCCAATCTTGAATCCCATGTTGCAGAGAAATAAAAATTATACTAGGTAGCATGTAGTTTCTTCAGAAAGTGATAACAATCCTATTGGAGCGGTCCCTATTTTTTTGTAGTATTTCCCTGTGTGTTGCATTAAAAAAAGGTACAGAAGGAAATTTAGCATAAATGTTTTTTCATATTTTTAAGGTGTTTTAGTCAGCTGTCATTCATATACTGTCCACAGTAATTACCAGACAGCAGGCATCCAGCTGTTAATAATCTTATAATAAAGAGCAAAGCAAAGGAGAAAAAATACTTTTGAGAATTTCTTTTTTGTGTTGGGTAATGAATCCAGGGCTTCGTGCAAGCTAGATTGAAAATTTTTGTGTGTGCATGTTTAATTTAACAACACTTAATAAGACATGAATGATAGGAGTTTAAGTGTAGTCTTAGAAAGTAGTGTTGCATTGTTAGCCTTTGTATCCATTAGGATGTTATATGTAGTTAAAAATCAAAGTAAAAAACAATTCAGCAAAAATGCCTGTGCTCATCGCCTAAATAGCCCTGGGTTCAATCCCCAGCACACTTTTGTCAACAAACACACACAAAAAACTTCAACTCACAGAAAAGAAACAGGTTTAATTTTTTTCTTTCTTCATATGAAACTCCTGCAATGACATTAAAATAATTATTCTTGGTACCCCCAAAAAAGGATAAATAATTATTCTTGCAATATTAAGATAATTCTAGCAGAAGGGATGGCATTAACTTGAAAGAACAAAGTAAGTGCTCCTTCAGGAAGGATAACATACTTATTTTATTTATTTATTTTTTCAGACAGCCTCTCACTATGTAGTTCAGGCTGGCCTTGAACCAGTGATGATCCTCCTGGCTCAGCCCCCCTAGCGCTGGGATTACAGAAATCTGCCACCATGCCTGGCCACTATTGTATTACTTTGGTAGTAGTTTTAGATGTTGGAGTGAGATCTTGATAATCCTTTCTTCATCAGTTGATTGGATTAGTTGGGATGCTTGGATTCACTTAATATTATCAGTTTTCCATTCTATATAAAGATGTAACAAACATCAGAATTAGAATAGCCCATAAATAGTTTGACAAATGTTTATTTAAACTAGAAATTTTGGTTAGTGCTAATAGTGGTTTGATGAAGTCATAATGTTGTTTCTATAGTCTGCATGCACTGATAGTGGGCAGTCTCTTCACTTTCTGTAGGTACATCCTATACACTGGAAGAAATTATTACTGTTACTGTATAATGCTTTACACAGTATTAGTTTATCGAAGTAAAAACATACAAGAGGGAAATTTTACTGTTAAAATACATTTTAATGGAAGGTTAATATTAAGAGTGAAGACATTTTGACATAACTTCATTTGTCTTTATTTTAAAGAATTCAGAAGGAACTTGCAGAGATTACTTTGGACCCTCCTCCCAACTGTAGGTAAGTACTTATGATTGTTATTTACTTATATCCATTGCAGAAGGTAACATTTACTGTTGGTCTGGTGTGTAATTGTATTTTAATGAATAAAAATTTCATTATGGTTTGGATTTAAATGACTGTAGAAGACAGTGGTGGAGTTTCAACAAGTGTTTGTAGTGGCAGAGTGGAGTTGCCAAAGGTAGTGTAATGCATTAAGATGATGAAATTGCAGGGTAACAAATACAAGTATCTCTGAGTGGAAGAGGGCTTTAAATGATTTCTTTAATGATAGAATAATAATGTAGCCAAAATATTCACTATTTGATAATTACTCAATTGTTTTGTTGGAAATTGATTTTTTAAAGTACAAGAATATTATACAGTATTTTTTCATGGTTTTTGTGATTGCTCATTAGTTGTGATTAAGAAAGGGTTATTTGAGGCAATGATGTTAAATATACAATACTCTCTCCCTTTGGGGTCACATGCCCCAATTTTCTGGTCAGTTTTTACTTAGAGAAAATAAAAATGCTTGCCTGGAAATGATTGTAATGATTTATAGATATATAGAGGAAGAGGAGAGAAATATTCTTCTACCTTATATTGTACCTTGCATCTGGTGCAATATTTGAAAGATGGCTGTTTTACTATTTTAAGACATTTATTTTTGTTGTGATATGAGCTCAGTGTTGGAATGAGGAAAACATGGGAGTTTTTATAGTTTTAATTGTTAGTCTTATGGATTAAAGGTGAAAAGGCAAATAAAATGAAAATATTTTTAACATTGAATGCAGGTAGAATTTATTATTTGGTGTGATTTCTGATCTTATTTTCTTCTGATCTTATTTTCATGTTGAAAACAGGTAACTACATTAATGAAAGTGAAAATTCTGTAGTTGATTATACTGTACTGATAAATGACTACTTGACAATTTGTGCTGGAAAAATTGTAATAAGGCTTATTATGTTTGTGGTGAATCTAATTCAGTTTTTACATGAGAATCAAATGTACAGTACATAAACATGCAAGAATGTTTCACTCAAGTAGAACAAATATTTTTTTGTTGATAGGTAAGACTGTTTAATGTGAGACTTTTTGTCATGTAAAACTTAGAGCTGCTTCTGATTGTTTAGCTTTTGATGGATTGATTTGTGTGGATATTGGTTTGAATTAAGAAAAAATGTTTTTGAGAATAGTATTTGTTTTAATGGTGTGAATCTTTTTTTAAAAACTTACATTATTTTTGTAACATTTTTATTCATACAACTGAATTGGTAAATTATGCACTTGATGTGCTTTGTTTAAATTTTGACAAAATACATGTGGTTTGTTTTAATGAATTTAAGGCCCATTTTGGTAAATGGAATCCACATATATTGTGCATTGTAGACTATAACTTTGCCCTTAGATCTTTAGATTAATTGAGTTTTATGAGGCAGGGTCTCACTTTACAGTTCAGGCTGGCTTTTAACTCACTATGTAGCCTTGGCTGGCTGTGATCTTGTGATCCTCCTGCCTCCATCTCCTGAATGCTGGGATTATAGGTATGTGTCTCTCTGTACACAGCAGTTATTTTACTTTCTAATACTATACACTGGGTAGTATAATTTAACTTTGACTCATTATGGAAAATAATGTAATCTTGATTAAACCAATATTATAAGCATGCATGAATTGAACTATAGTTCTCTTTAAAATAAAGTTTAACTGTGGTGTCATGTGAGATTTGGGGGTTGACTTTTTCTTTGAGTTTAGTGAATGATACCATTGCTAACTCCTGTGTGGACTGTCTAGAAACAAATCAAAATACTAATAATAGTTTTTGATTTTCAAATGTAGAAGTCATGCATAATAAACCCTTTAGTGTTAGGAAAGATACCTACTTTGGTTAATATTAAGGCTAATGGGAATTTGCAAGAAAATCCATATGTGGTCTGAGGACTGGATCACTAATAAGTCTGCTTTAGAAGCCAGGTCCTTCTGGCAATAGAGTGGCTTTATCTTAGTTACTTTCTTGCTGCTGCAACAAAATAATGGACACCCACAACTGAAAAAAGAAAAGGTTTATTTTAGCTCACAGTTTGTGGAGGTTTTAGTCCACAGTTGGCTGGCTCCAACACAGGCCAGCATGGCAAAGGGACACTGTAGAGGAGAAAGAACTGATGGCAAGGCAAGCAGGAGGCAGCAAGCCTTCCTTCCTTTTTCCCTTTCATCCAGTTCATTTTAACTACTTTCTTACTTTAGTAAGTCCATCACCCACACTCAAAACTATGCTAATCCAATCCGTGGACTAATCCAGTATCATACACCCATGATCCATTCACTCCCAAAAGCCCCACCTATGAATGCATGAGGCTTATATTATACATAATTTATACATAATTTGTGTAAAATTTGGTGTATGGTTAGAGTATTTTTTATAAATAGAATGTATTTTGCTTGGTCTCAACTCTTGCATTGGATATCACAACTGACCCTTGACATTTTGCAGAGGCTCTTTTCTGAGGCTTTTGCTTTTTTGAGGGGGTGATACTGGAGCTCCAACTCTGGTCCTTATGCTTGCAAGGCAGACAGCTGAACCCAGCCAAATCCCCAGTCCTCCATAAATGTTTTCATACCACCAGCTGTGTTAGAGGTGCTGAGCTATTGGCCAAAATCACTGCTTAAGTGCTTTGGTTATTGGCCATTTGCATATTTTCTTTGAAGAATTTTTAGATTCCTTGTCCATTTTTATTTCTGTTATCCTTTCTAATGTTGAGTTGTAAGAGTTCTTTATATATTTTGAATAGGAATCCCGTATATCAAATATATGATTTAGAAATCTTTTCTCTCATTCTGTGAGTGTTTTTATGCTCTTTCTTTGTTTCTTTTCTTTTCTTTTTTTTTTTTTTTTAAACAGAGCCAGGGATTGAATCCAGGTTCTCACACATGGTAGGCAAATTCTCTACTGCTTAGCTGCATCTCCAGCTCTTTTAATTTTATTTTTTTAATTTTGAGATAGGGTCTGGGTAAATTGCCCAGGCTGGCTTCAAACTAATGATAGCCTTTTGAATAACCAGGATTATAGGCATGGGCCACCTGCACCTGTCTGTTTTTTATGTACTTTCTTGACAGCGACCTTTGCGGCACAAAAGTTTGTATTTTCGTTGAGCTCTGATTTATCTATTTTAGTTAATTTTGCTTATATGTTTGGTGTGATACTTAAGAAACCGTTTCCTAATTAAAAGCCAGGATTTGTGTCCGTATTTTTCTTCTAAGGATTTTATAATTTTAGCATTTACATTTTGGTTTCTGATGCCCTGTGAGTTTCTGCCAGTGTACATAGTCTTGATCAGTTTTGAATAACAGAGTATAAGAACTCTAACTGGTTTACTTTTCATTGTCTCAACTCAATAATTGAGATATTCCCAGCATAGAAGAAGCTGTGATAGGTGAGAAGCCTAGTTATTGTCTCATCTTATTCATACAACTGACTTAATAGAGGAAAGTACATTTTGTAGATCATAGTAATTGAAAATAGTATTAAGGAAAGAGAGAGTATGTGTATGTGTGTAGTTTTCAAAAGCATATCATAGAAGAGGAAGCCATTGAGACAAATTGGGGTCAGTGTTTATACAAGTGTGATCTCTGAGAAGAGTTATCAGTGCAAAAATCTAAATATTGTCACTAGTTGTTTTCCTTATTATTGTAAGATCTGTATGGCAATTTGTAGCATTAAAGGATTTTCATGTGTTATGTCCTTTGGTTTTTACATCTATTCTGAGACCCCTGAGATCAAGTAATGTGCTCAGATTTGCACAGCCAAAAATGGTTGATTTGGATTTAAAATCTAGGTTATTTGATCTTTTACCCTTTGTTGACTAAATAGAGAAATACATTAAAAATTATAGCTACTGTGGTTAAGAAAAGAAAAAGAAAACAGACATAAAATTTGTAGGCAGTCTGAAATATATTTTTTAATATATTTGATTTGTATTTCTGAATTCCATGAAGCAGTATTCAGCTGAAACATTTTGAAAAGTAACTTTTTGATTATGCTGTTTTCTGCCATACTCCTTTGGGTCTGTGTGTGGATATGTGCCTCAGTGTTAACCATTACTGGCACAGTAAGTAAATGATTTCTTTACATTCAGCAGGTCTTAACTTGGTATTTACAGATGTCTGCACTTTATTGCCAGATAGATTTTTTCTCTGTTACTCAGTTTAATTGTAGGTCACATTCCCCTACATTTCAGTTTAGTGTTCATTAAGGGCTTAGTAGGAGAGCTATGCTAGCGAAATGTAGAATATAAAATGATATCCAGATGTGGTGCCTAATCCTGAAGATGGGAAAGACAACTAATAATACATAATGATGCTTAGAGAACCATATGATCAGGACATATTCTAATTGAAAAGGAAGTAATTTGTGTAATTAAAAAAAAAGTGACAAATCAATGAGAGAACACGTCTTTAGGGAAAGAAGTAAACTAGGCTTTGAAAAATGGGTAGAATTTGGAAAGGTAGAGGAAAATAGGGACTACTTTAGGTAAGAGAATGAATGCAGGCAGAAACATAGCGGGGACAAGTTGAGTATATTCTTGGGACAGGGAGGTCAACATGTTGAGCTCCAGCCCATGTGGGAGGTGAAATTTGTTAGGGGCTTTCTAGGAAAGATATTAAAATTACCAATTGCTGTAGTTTGAAATTTAAATATCAAATAAAAGACAATGGAGTTGTTTTGATAAAAAATTGGTAGAGATATTAATTTTACCTTCAGAAGTGGAGGCAGGAGGATCACTGAGTTCAGGGCAGCCTGGGCTGCATGGTGAGTTCACTGTCAGTCTGAACCTGTCTCAAAAATTACTTTTAATTCATTTCATAATGTATAATATGGAATAGAGATGGAAGTGAAAGAGCAGGATACAAAGAGAGAATACACTAAGAAATCTGTTGCATGAATACAAGTTCTAGATGATAGAGGGCCTGGTGATATGATGTTAGAAATTAAAAAGAAAAAACAGTAACAGAATTGAGA